ACGTTCAGTCTGTCCTGCTGGAGCAACGTGAGGAGGTACGGGTTTCCGCAGCAGCTCAAGGGGTTCGAGCCCACGTATAAAGTCCGGAGCGATTTCTGCAGAGCGAAAACCGTGTCGGATGCGAGTGTGACCAAACTGTTATTCTGGAGGTTCAAGGACTCCACAGAAGAATCTCCGCTCCACAGAGAGACCCCCGTGAGTCGGTTCACTGACAGATCCAAAGACTTGAGTTTCCGGAAGAAGGTGAAGTCGACAGCTAGGGTTTGGAGCTGGTTTCCTCTTAGAGAAAGATGGGCGAGGGTCGTCTCCAAACCTGAGAGAGTTGACGGGCCCAAGCCCATGTCGGCATTCTGAGAAAGATCCAGAATAAGCAGCGGGGTTCCGCGAAACGCACCTGGTGGAACCGATGCAAGACTGTTCTCCGAGAGGTACAGATAGCTCAGGGTCGGGATAGAGGACAGTCGGATGCAGTCGTGCATTGGACCCTTGAGCGAAGGACAGATGCTAAACAGGTTTTGCTGAAGGTGAAGGCTTCGTATGTTGGGGAGCCTTGAGAAAATCCCGGCGTCTAGCATGCTCAGAGCGTTTCCCTGAAGGTGCAAGACTTCCAACGCAGCCAGCGTGCTCTCGCCGAAGGACAAGTTCTGCAGGTTGTTGTAGCTGATGTCCAAGGTTTTCAACACGTTCAGACGGCCTTCTGAATCCACATTGAAGCTCTCTAAACAGTTATTGCTGATGTTTAGGCTCTCCAGAGAAACCATGCTGCTGAAGAACGAGGACGGAATCGCTTTGAGCTGGTTGTAGCTCAAGTCCAAGTAGAGCAACCTGGGAAGATCCTGGTGCCTCTGATTGACGCAAAGGCAAAGGGGTTTGTCGTGGTCGGTGAACAGATACCCGCTGGCCTTCAGGTTCTCCAGCTCTTCTAGCGGACCGGAGCAGTTCACGCTTCTCAAGAGGTTTCTGGACAGGTCCAGGTACATGAGTTTGTTCCTCTCGGGAAGCACGGGGAAGTACAGGATTTTATTTTCCCTCAGGTCCAGATACAGAAGCTCAAACTCCAGATCCGAATCAACGGTCTGGAAGTTAGTCAGGCTGTTTTTGCTCAAGTTTAGCGTTTTGAGCTGAACGAGGTTGAAGTCCGTGATGCATGAAATGGAGTTCACCGACAGATCGAGTTCTGAGAGCCCCGTCAGCGACTCGAAAGCACCTTCTTCAATTTCTATGATGACGTTATTGTGTAGGTCGATGTTTCTTAAAGCCTGAGATCCGTTGAATGTGTGCCTGCTTATTTTAGTAATGCTGTTCCCGTCTAAAGAGAGGTTGGTGAGGACCGGGGCGTCGCTCAGGAAATAGTCGCTCATATCCGTGAACAGACCGTTTCCGGACAAATCCAGATGCTGGAGTGATTTGAGCGGCCCGATGTGAGTTTTCAAAGCCGCATAAAGGTCCAGCGAGTTTCCCGATAGATCCAGCACCTCCAAACGGCTCGTGTCCTGGAACAGGCCCGGCTGGATGAACTGGATCTTGTTGGCGTGGAGGTTCAGATGCTGGACGGTGGAGAGCGCCGGAAGCTCCCGGTCCGTGAGGTTCTGCAGGAGGTTTCGAGACAGATCGAGGAGGTGGATAAAGGCCGGCAGCTGCGCCGGGACCCGTCTGAGGTTCAGACTGCTGCAGTCGACATCCTCGTGGACCTTAAAACAACAAGAACGAGTGCTATTAGCCAACATTATTTACCACAAGTGATGTCCAAACCATACTGACGTACACCGTGCATTACTCATGACATCATACAGCTGTTTCCTGGAATATTTCAACACAATAGACCCCATGGTTTTTAGCATGACGAATGACTGAAAGCAGCTCTCAGTTTACACTATCTGTGCTCCATCTACACGCCAGAGCCACACATTATTTATGCTCTCTGGATAACTGTGGCTCAGGAATGGTGTTTCAGGATTTTCCCTCGCCTCTGGGCCAGAGTTCGGCGAGAGGATGGAGATGTAATGGAGCACTGTGGTATTTCATCCTACACACACTTCCTCTGCGCTCATTAGCCGTGTGTCACTGATGTCCAATCACACGGTCAGAGGAGATTTCCTGCCCTGAACTCACTAACCTGCTATAATCAGTTCATCTTATCAGACTCTATGGTTTAGTCTAAGACTCGTAATCGTGCCGTCTCCACCATCCTCACTGGACGCACTGGGAGGATGTTTCTGCCTAATATGGTTCTCTAGATGTGGGTCTGTTTGGTCTTTGCCAATGTGTGTGAATCTATTTAATTAATACTGAAGCATTTCATAGACCCTGAGGAAACAGGCACAAGCGAGTCAATAGTTGGCTTACACTCTAAAAAATGCTGGGTTGTTTCAACCCAACTTTGGGTCAAATATGGACTCACCCAACCGTTGGGTTAAATTTTTACATTACATTTTTAACCCAAAAGTTGGGTTAGTCCATATTTGACCCAAAGTTGGGTTGAAACAACCCAGCATTTTTTAGAGTGTACAGTAAGTCTACAGAGCTATATTATGATTGTGGAGCAACACGGATGATTTGATGAGAAACTGCTGAGTTATATTTCAAGGCTTTCGATTACAAAACCGATCGTTTGAGCATCTGAAATTCTAGAGAAGACACTTTTGAGCAATAGTCTCCATTTACTCCAATTTCACTGCTAAAAGAGGTCTCACTTGTGGGTTTTTTTTTTTCAAACAGGTTGACCGTTTTGACCGACTTTAGGAATCTGATTGGCACAGAAAATTTTCAGTTTCTAAGCAAAGAATCGCACATGGATCATCAGTCGTTATAGTAATTTGTTCACTCAGAGAGAACACCAAAAGGCCGTTTGAGTCAGAAGTTGAACACCAAACTGAGAGATGCTGTAACTCACCACTTGACAGGGCGAAGGCTCTGCTGGACGTCTGTACGGCGAGACCTGGTTCACCACGAGCATCAGTATCCAGAGACGTGTGCCCATGATGCTGCAGAGACACAGAAGAGCGAGTGAATGAGGATGAATGACATGAACATGACATCACTCCGCAGGCGCTCACATCACAGCTTCTGTTTTTAACTCCAGTGATGTCTGCTGAAGTGGAACATTGAATCTTTCTCGATGTCAATAGATGTGTCACTCCTGTCTCAAATGCACTGATCTGGTTTCTGTGTTTGATATTTGACGAACAGAAACGCCCACACGTGGTGAGCACAGCAGAAATATTAAAGGTTAATCTCCATTTCCACATTATGTGTTAAATATATATCAGAGGGTGATGTTTCAGCAGAAATTAACCCTCTGATCTCCAGCAATTACTCATCTTGTGCCAATCGAAGGAAACCCATAAAACGCGAGATCAGAAAAGCAAACATCCGAAACATAAGACTGGCTTCAGAGTGAGATTGCGCTGAAGCGCAGGTGTGTTTCAGGTGTGTCACCTCAGTAGTGTGCTGCTCCTGTGCTGTTCTCTGCTGCTGACGGTCTCATGCTGGTCTCCTCAGCGTCTCACTACAGCTGCATGTGCTCCTCCGTCTCTCTCTGCTCCGCTACACATCCTGCTGTGAGAATATCCTGCAAATACTCTCTTGTTTTTTCCTTCTGCGCTCAAGCCTTGTATGGGATTGGACCTCCCTCTCCCTCCTCCCGCCTGCTCTCTGTGTGTGTCTCTCTCGCTCTCCGTGTGTGTGTGTGTGTGTGTGTCTCTCTCGCTCTCTGTGTGTGTGTGTGTGTCTCTCTCGCTCTCTGTGTGTGTGTGTGTGTCTCTCTCGCTCTCTGTGTGTGTGTGTGTGTCTCTCTCGCTCTATATATATATATATGTGTGTGTGTGTGTGTGTGTGTGTGTATATATAACCAATATATTTTGACCATTTTTTTGTACATTTTTGAAAATATATTTTACAAATATAATATATATTTTTAAATATTTTAAATATAAAAATTTATTTTGCCCTCCATATATTTTCAATCTAAGAACATACATTGATGTCACAACTTTATTTGCTGTCTATAACGCAAACTTAACGCATTTGAAAAAAATTGTTTAAAAACATTATCGAATCATTGTAAATCTGTTTTTGATCTGTAGTGGCCTATTCCATCCACATGTGCATTTAGACTAAGCATAGGCTATACTGTTAGATTGGAAATGGATTTTCTTGCCCCTAAAATACATTTTGAAATATATTTTGGTTTATGAATGTTGTAACTAAATGTATTTTCAATTTTAATTTAACATCACAGTTTACAACATATATTTAACATGTATTTACAATATGTTGGCCAGAAAGCAAAAACATTTACTGTATTTAGTATTTACTGTTGTAAATGATACAGTAAATAACGCCAGGTTTTAGGAGGTTCTTTGTAATTTGACAGACTCGTTTCTGTGGTAAAATTGGGAAACAGGAATACATCACTTCATCAACACTTTATTATGAAGATCTGACATTACAAACATTCTTAGTCTTCTTGCTTCTAATTTAATTTGATAGTGAAACCAAAGATTTTATCATGCAGCACAATGCTGATACACCTGTTTGCTTTCACCTTTGAACGAACTCAAGGGATAATATTTAATGCCTGCAAAGTTATTCAGAACAAAAGCTGATTTAAATTGATATTTTAATTTTATTTCCAAAATGTGAAATGGTTACTTGCCTATGTAAAATTACACTGCAGTAAAATCAGAGTCTTGCTGCTTTTATTAAATCAAAAACTGCCAAATCCTCATTAAATAATTACACGGAATGTGTGTTTATCATAATTATACAATAACGTACAGACTCATCTGGTATCATAACAGTTACAGATTTGATCAATTCTACAATAAACTCTCAGAATTCATGCTAAAACACAGCAGACTGCTATTTAAGTCCTGATTCTGCAGCAGTTGTTTGCAGTGAAGCACTACTAGTGAACAGGGAAGGGAAGTTGATTTAATGGGAACAGGAAATGAGTTTCCACGGCAGCCAGTGACATCACTGCTTGTGCATAAGCTCCTCCCACTCAGAACACAGCAGGTATAAACGTGTTGCAGGTGACGCTCAATTCTCATCGCTGATCTGAAGACTCCCTGAGCGTGCTTCACACAGGTGAGCTCTGATAAATATGCATGCTTATCCAACAATTCTGAGGCGTTTCTATTCAAGACTGTTTTGCATTTGAATTATATTGCATTTATGTAAATGCAGATGAAAGACTGCAAACATGAGATAACTGAAAGTTTGGGATAGTTGATGCATAATGTGACTGCAGAATTGTGAAGATGTTTAAGGGAAAGTGTTTGTTGAATTTGCGTCATTTTTAATCAGCATTTTGCTTTCAATATTTTAAATAGTCCTGCAGTGTACAAATCATATCATATTTTTATGTAATTAATATGAGCTCATAAAAACATAGCATGGCAGATTCACACTAAAACTAAAACCATAAAAACATTTTTTGTATCTTGAAATCTGTGTTGTTTTAGTATCATTGAGATGCTATTATATGTTATATATTTTTGGTTTTCCTTTTAATTTTTGTAGTGTTTTTGTCATTTTTATTAGTTTTTGTTTCTTTTAAATCTTTCTGTAAAGTTTATTATGATATTATAAATATAATAATAAATATTAAAAATATATAATAATATATTTTTGTTTTAGTTTGAGTTATTTTAGCACTTAAAGTTAAACTATATAAAAATTTGCCTTGGCAAGTAGCTGCAATAAAATACGTGTTTTATATTTTATTTTATTTCATTCCAGTTAAAGTTTATTTTCTAACAAAAATTGTAAAGTAACAAAAAATGCTTTTCGTGGTTTCAGATTTAGATTTAGTTTTAGTTCATTACAATAACCCTGCTTGAAATAAAATAAACGTTAACTGAAACAAATTTTTCAAACCTAAACATATTTTATTTCAGCTAGTTGCCAAAGCAAATTTTCATATTTTAATTCAGTTTAACTTGATGTACTAAAATAACTCAAACTAATACTGAAATTTATTATTAAAACTAATACTGAAAATTAATAAAAACTATATAAATATTTTTTAAAAACTACTAAAAATTAAAATAAAATAAAAAAACTGAACAAATCAGTGAAACTTAAAATTAATATAATATAATGTATATTAAATTAAATTTCATATATATATATATATATATATATGTATGTATGTATTAGGGGTGTAACGGTTCAAATTACTCACGATTCGGTGTGCTTTTTTAGGGAAAAAGAATTATATTGTCAAATAAAAATAAAGAAAATAAGAACAAATAATCTAACTACAAGCAACAGAACAAATAAATACAACCGAGGAAAGATACAAATCAAATAAACAGTGCTTTTCAGGTTTTTTAGGTAGGTCTAACATTAGTTTTTAAGTACAGAAACTGAATAAAGTAATCAAATGTAAAATAACATTGCATATTTGACTGTATAAATTAAAGATTAATCCTTATTAAAGTTACAAAAGCTATTCAATCAAGAGCAGTGAGTGATTTCCCTGTCTTTTGTTGTTTGATAACATTAAAAACTTTAAGACAATGCACGGATCCAGTACACTGATTCTATGCATTCAACCGACTGAATGTTTAAACTGGCCAGGCTTAAATACAGAGTTCTGGCATGAAACTCTAGATGGCGCAGTCCGATAGGTCTAACTCAATCTGACCTGATGACATCATTATCACATGGCACAGCTGATTGGTTCTCTCCTGTATCGGTAGCCAATGAGCTCGCTGCTCAGCATTCAAATATATGACTAGTGCTTGCCGTAGCAGTGCAGCTTGCTTCAGAAACCCTTTAGGGAAAAAACTATATTGTCAAATAAAAATAAAGAAAATAAGAACACATAATCTAACTACAAGCAACAGCACAAATAAATACAACAGTAAATACAACAGAGCAAAGATAAAATAAACAGTGCTTTTCAGGTTTTTTAGGTAGGTCTAACATTAGTTTTTAAGTACAGAAACTGAATAAAGTAATCAAATGTAAAATAACATTGCATATTTGACTGTATAAATTAAAGATTAATCCTTATTAAAGTTACAAAAGCTATTCAATCAAGAGCAGTGAGTGATTTCCCTGTCTTTTGTTGTTTGATAACATTAAAAACTTTAAGACAATGCACGGATCCAGTACACTGATTCTATGCATTCAACCGACTGAATGTTTAAACTGGCCAGGCTTAAATACAGAGCTCTGGCATGAAACTGTAGATGGCGCAGTCCGATAGGTCTAACTCAATCTGACCTGATGACATCATTATCACATGGCACAGCTGATTGGTTCTCTCCTGTATCGGTAGCCAATGAGCTCGCTGCTCAGCATTCAAATATATGACTAGTGCTTGCCGTAGCAGTGCAGCTTGCTTCAGAAACCCTCCACCTTCCCCAGCTCCACCTGTATAGATCTGCTACAAGGTGATTCATGTATGCTATATGGGGGGTTATTTCATGTATGTTATATTTGCAGCAGCAATATTTCTTACATGCTCACAGCAGCATGTTGTGGATGTATTAGCAGTAGCAAGTCTCGGTACTTGCTTTGCCGCAGCAGCAGCAGCAGTGTAGCAGATCTATTCCGCCAAGACCAAATACATTAACACTGTCATGTACATTACCATGCCAATCCCTCAGAGAGTTGTCATGACAGAAATTTTACTAAAGTTCCAAATTAGCTGAATACACATTCAGATGATTAAAGGATCTGCTACGAGGTGATTCATGTACGCTATATGGGGGTTATTTCAGGTATGTTATATGTGCAGCAGCAGCATTTCTTACATGCTCACAGCAGCATCATAGCAGATCTATTCCGCCAAGACCAAATACATTAACATTAACATTGTCATGTACATTACCATGCCAATCCCTCCGAGAGTTGTCATGACAGAAATGAGTTTAGTTTAAACACGGATAGCAACGTGTGCTGTTCAGGTCTTTAAATTGTAAATAAACCTGCAATAGTGTCTCAGTAATGCTGTCGCTCCTCACAGTCGTCATCCGTCCAGAATGGGCTTCGGCACGAACGGCGAGCTGATGGACGGCAGGTCAAAGGTCAGCTTCTGCTCGGGCTCGTGTCACGCCGAGCACATCCTGCAGGTGCTGAACTCTTACCGGCGCAGCGGCACCTTCACAGACGTGGTTCTGCAGGTGGACGGATGCGAGTTCCCGTGTCACCGCGCCACGCTCTGCGCCAGCAGCCTCTACTTCCGCAGCATGTTCAACAGCAGCGGCTTCCAGGAGAACCGGCAGCCCGCGGTCAAGCTGCAGGGCATCTCCAGCGCCGCCATGGACAGCCTGCTGGACTTCATGTACGAGGGCCGGCTGAAGCTGGACGAGGAGAACGTGGAGAGCGTCTTCCAGGCGGCGGATCGGCTGGACGTTCCCGTCCTGTCCAAAGCCTGCGTGCAGTTCCTGCAGGAGCGCGTCAGCCACTCAAACTGCCTGGGGCTGATGGACTTCGCCAGCCTGTACGTGCTGCAGCCGCTGCGGGAGCAGTGCCAGACGCTGCTCTACCAGGACTTCCAGCAGGTGCTGCGGCACGACGAGTTCCTCGGCCTGCCCAAAGCCCGCGTGCTGGAGCTGCTGGCCTGCGAGCGTCTGCAGGTGACGGAGGAGGTTCTGGTGACCGCCGCGCTCCGCTGGGTCCATCACCGGCCGGACGAGCGGAAGCAGGACCTCAGGGAGCTGCTGGAGCGGCTGCGTCTGCCTCTGCTGGACCCGCCGTTCTTCACCGGCGCGCTGGAGGCGGATGAGCTGGTGCAGGAGTGTGCGGAGCTCCGGCCGCTGCTGCAGGAGGCGCGCATGTACCGCGTGTTTGGACGGGAGGTGCAGTCGGAGCGCACCAGACCCCGCCGGTGAGTCCCGCTTCCGTCTAAACCCAAACAAGGGCCTGCGGGCCAATGCTGAGTTTTGATTTGGCCCATAACATGCATAAAAACAGGCCACTGGTGCATATCTTCATGTCTAATTCATAACACTTTTTGTTCTGTTTGCAAAATTATAGTCTGAAGCGTGGACTGCTTTTTTCGTGCTCTAATTTGTGTCGTACGTTCAGCTCAGTTTTGCTACATATTTTACAGATATCCAGATAAACAAACAGAAACATTAGACTTGTAAATGCAACATTTAATGCCACGACTTTATGAATTGAAGACTTTCTGCTCTGATTTAAGACCTAAATTAGTGGAAGGAAGAATTAAGACTTTTTACGACCTTTGTAAGATCTGCAGAAACCCTGTAAGATGCTTCAGGTTTCATCTTCATGCTTTGTCATAATATTCAGATTTTTAGAAAGATGAACTCGTTATTTAAAAAAAAAATCTTAAGCTTCTATTTGTTTACCTGGATATCTGTAAAATGTGTTGCAGAATGTTCACTGAGATCAACATGAGCTGTACATACGACACAAACATTAATAAACTGCTAAAACCGCCATAATAAACTACAGCAGATCACAGAAGAGATGCACTGCTGCTGATCAGTCAGTCACTGATTAATAATGAACATCGTGTGTGTGTGTGTGTGTGTTTGTTTTTGTTTGTGTGTGTGTGTGTGTGTGGGTGTGTTTGTTTTTGTTTGTGTGTGTGTGTCTGTGCACATGTTTGTGTGTCTGTGTGTGTGTCTGTTTGTTTGTGTGTGTGTACACATGTTTGTGTCTGTGTGTGTGTGTGTGTTTGTTTTTGTTTGTGTGTGTGTGTCTGTGTGCACATGTTTGTTTGTGTGTGTGTGTGCACGTTTGTGTCTGTGTGTGTGTGTGTGTTTGTTTTTGTTTGTGTGTGTGTGTCTGTGTGCACATGTTTGTTTGTGTGTGTGTGTGCACGTTTGTGTCTGTGTGTGTGTGTGTGTTTGTTTTTGTTTGTGTGTGTGTGTCTGTGTGCACATGTTTGTTTGTGTGTGTGTGTGCACGTTTGTGTCTGTGTGTGTGTGTGTGTTTGTTTTTGTTTGTGTGTGTGTGTCTGTGTGCACATGTTTGTTTGTGTGTGTGTGTGCACGTTTGTGTCTGTGTGTGTGTGTGTGTTTGTTTTTGTTTGTGTGTGTGTGTCTGTGTGCACATGTTTGTTTGTTTGTGTGTGTGTGTGTGTGTGATTTTTGTTTTGTGTGTGTGTGTTTGTTTTTGTGTGTGTGTGTCTGTGTGTTTTTGTGTGTGTGCGCGTGTGTGTGTATGTGTATGTGTGTGCGCGCACGTGTGTGTGCATGTGTGTGTGTGTGTGTGTGTAATCAGGTGCTCTGGCTGGGCTGAGGTGATCTTCGTGATCGGTGGCTGTGATAAGAACGGTTTCTCCAGACTCTCCTTCACAGAGAAGCTGAACGTGTCGTCAGGAGAGTGGACCTCCGCCGCCGCTCTGCCCGGTTACTCCAAATCTGAGTTTGCGGCCTGTGAACTTCAGAACGACATTTATGTATCCGGTACGTATCATTTATGTATGTATCAGGTATCACAGACGTCCAGAACGCTGCTCATCCCCTTCTCTTCCGTCACACACACTGATCAGACTAGCCTTAAAAACATCAGAGTTCAAGACTGGGCATAATTTACAAAAAGATTGGTGTAATTTGAATCTGAAAAATAAGACTGATTACCCCTTGGTTAACTGCTGGTAGTTAGTTCTGTTTATGCAGCTGACTGCAGATCTGTCAGGCATCTGTCTTCTGTGTTACTCTATCAGCTCCAGCATCAGCCAGGAATGTTTGACACGTGATTCCAGAGAATCTGATCAGGATCACAGACAAACACACCATGATTACAACCTTGTTTAATTATGAGCTTCTGTTAGTTCTGAAATCTGAATTCTTTCTTGCTTTTACTCACCTACAAACCCCTATGGCTTTCTTTCTTCTGTGAAACATAAAAGAAGATATTTAGAGTTTTTTGTCCGTGCGATGAAAGTCCTCTTTAAATGATAGAGGCATGAAATGAGGGAGAATAGCCTAAATGATGACAGAACGACATCCGAATAATAATCGAAATCCCCGATATAAAACAATGCGATTATCGAAGAATAATTTAATGAAATAAGCAGCCCATGTTGTGCGGCATGTTTCAGAGCGAAAAGCATGACTGTGTTCATTTACACACATGCAGCTGATAATCGCATGTTTTTAACGTGTTTTTTGACGTGAGTTTAACATGCATTTTGGAAATGCAATGTGTGCTCGATTCACTTTATTTATGACATTTGCATTAATTAAATTTGCATAATTGCCATCATTTTACAGCATTTTACCAATATTCTGCCAAAATAAAAACATGAGGGTTGGAACAGGTGAAAGTGAAGAATTGAAGACATGAATATTAGTTCTTATAAAGAGTGAACAGAAGTGTGAACGGCCTTAAAACGGTTTACTTTAGCCGTCTCAGCAGTACATTCTCACAACGTTCACTTTTTACTAATGTTTTATAAACGTTAGAACTAAACATTTAGGCAACATTCTTATAACTTTATTAATATTTGAAATACGTTCTCATAAGGTTGAGAGATTAATATTCTCGGAATGTTCTTATGATGTTATTTGTACTTGATGAATGTTCTAAAAATGTTTGTTTTGTAACTATTAAATAACTTTTAAATTACGGCAAGAAAACTAGACATTTTAATGCTCTTAGAATATTAAAAATAAACATTCAATTAATGTTATATTTTGGGTGAAAAATAAAGTGTGTAGAATGCCGAAACAAACGTTTTTGTACATTTTTTTTTTTTTGACATTTTAACGTTTTACGAATATTTCAAAACAAAGTTCCCACAACATTTTAATAATCTAAATGTACAGGTTGTTTCAAAGCAGCTTCACAGTGATAAACAGGAAGATAACAGAATCTGATGCAAACTTCAAATGTGAGACAAATTCAAATTCAGCTGTAAAGACAAACGTGTGATTATTCAGCTCGGCTCATCTGATTGTGTCAGTGATCGATTTCTGAATATTTAGTGTCTTTTAAACCCAAACTAAGCAAGCCAATGGAGTCTTTGTGTCTCAACACAAATTAATTAATTTATATCAAATTAAATGTTCAAAACTGCAATATATGACAAAATAATCACAACATAATTTTGGCCATCTAATCCAACCCTATAAAAAATTATAATCAAACAAAACAATTAAAATAAAACACGTACTAAAAGGTTTTTGATTAATATCTTTTTTTAAACATTAAAAAATATTTCATGTTTATTTGCATGTCATGTGTTCTAACATCAGAGAACCATAAACATGTGAAAGTGTTGATAAATGATGAACACTCTGCTAAATGAATGAATGTAAATGTCCAGTTATTGAAATATGAACTTAATGTGTCTAAGAGCTTTGCCGTTGTAATACGTGTGTGTGTGTGTGTGTGTGTGTGTCTGTGTGCGTGTGTGTCTGTGTCTCTGTGTCTGTGTCTCTGTGTCTCTGTCTCTGTGTGTCTGTGTCTCTGTGTCTGTGTCTCTGTGTCTCTGTCTCTGTGTGTCTGTGTCTCTGTGTCTGTGTCTCTGTGTCTCTGTCTCTGTGTGTCTGTGTCTCTGTGTCTCTGTCTCTGTGTGTCTGTGTCTCTGTGTCTCTGTGTGTCTGTCTCTGTGTGTCTGTGTCTCTGTGTCTGTGTCTCTGTGTGTCTGTCTCTGTGTGTCTGTGTCTCTGTGTCTGTGTCTCTGTGTGTCTGTCTCTGTGTGTCTGTGTCTCTGTGTCTGTGTCTCTGTGTGTCTGTCTCTGTGTGTCTGTGTCTCTGT